GTAATGGAGAAGCAAGGTTTTTGGCCGATTCTAGTGGCCATTGTTTGTAGGGAAGGTTCTTAGTCGAAACCATAGAACCTTCGGGTTTACGATGAAGATGTAGGACCTCATGATGTGTTTGCCACCACCGAAAAAGATTTTTCCCCATGTCCAAGACAATTGCCAGTCATTTGAACCCGTGTCTAAGACCTCCGGACAAGCTAGTGATGACAACCGTCCCGTGAACTCTAAAATTTAGAGGTTGCCGCCGTGGTGAAGAGATAATAGGACCGACTGTTGATGATTGTGCACATTCTTTGCACCAAAAAGGTCCTGACCCCACTGGTCAGGAGAGCGAGTGATTCATTCTTGCTTTGCATGTCATATCATACCCTGGTGAGGACCTTTGTTGCCCATCCGTTTGTTCCTTGGACTTGAATGTTATGCATGGTTAGTTGTGGTTGATAAGTGATCTTGTTGAGACTTGCATTCATTCATGAACAATGTGAGAACTTTTTGTTTGCCCGTTTTTGGTGACCTCAAATGTCATTTGTGGTGGATGTCAGTATTGCTTGCAATGGTCCATGTGTCAATTTCCAATAGCCATTGAGATTCGCCACTTTGTGCCCTTTGATTTTTCCCCAAAGCATTTTGTTAGGTTGAGACATTACCTTGTGAAATGGTTTGCTTGGGGACAAGCAAACGTCTAAGTGTGGGGGAATGATTCGGGCCTAATTGTACACTTTATATCCCCGTTTCTCTTTGACGTTTGTTGCAATTGAGCTCCAAAAGGGGTGGTTTTATGCTAGGTTTCTTGTGTTTTAGTGTGTTTCAGATTCTAACAAGTGAAACCAACCCCGAAGTTGAAAGTTGGAAGAAAAGGAGCAAAGACCAAGCGAAGAGGAGGAATCAGCCTGTGTTCACGGTCTACCATTGAAGTTCATGGTCGCCAGGACCATGAACTGGAACCACAATCCGTGAACCAAGAAGCGTCCATAGGGGTTTCTGAGGTTACTAACACCAAGGTTGTTCACAGTCGCTAAGACCGTGAACTGAAACCACAAACCGTGAACCCAAGAAGTGAAGCGGTGCATTTTGGTTCAACACACTGTTCATGGACGCGTTTTGATGTTCACGGACGTGAACTTGGTCCGTGAACTGGGCACGATCTTAGTATAAAGAGCTAGCCGAAAGGAAGAAGAAGGGAGGGACCTAGTGTGAGAAACGTCTTCTTCTTGAGATTTTCATAGTGAGAAAGTGACGAACCAAAGAAGAGTAGAAGCTAGGGTTTCATCTCCAAGCAAGGATTTGGGAATTCCTCCCCCAAAGGAGGATCTCTTCAGCACAAGGAGCAAGGCTAGCATCTTTTGGATGGTTTTCCTTCTTCTCCCTTGTGTTTCCCCTTCTCCTAGCATGGAGTAGTCCCTTCTTTCACTTGGGTGTTTGTAAACCCTAGCTACAATTATGTGAATGCTTGTACGAATTGAATGATTTGTGTGTGGTTGTGTTTAATGTAAATGTGGAGGTATTGACACGCTAAAACACAACACCAAACTACGACCAAGTATAATTGCAGTTTGGAAATGCAGAATAGTGGATAAGTTTAATTTATCAACCCGGGGTCTAGATTTACTGCCTACTCCGTGAACTTCTATTATCTATCGAAACAAAGTTAGTGAAGTTGAATTCAAACCAAAACATAAAGAAAGCAGTAAATTATCCGGTTTTCTGAAGCAAGAGAAGAGTCACTCGGGAATGAGTCCCCCTAGCTACTTAGTTAGGTCCAAGTTGTAATTTCCTTGGGTTGATTTACTGTTGATTAAACTACGGAAGATCCGACAATAGCTTGAAATCTCTTAAGCTGACCAAGCCCTCTTAGACAGACTAACCGAGAGACGACTAGTCTTCATCGGGATAGAAAGCTAAGGCAATTAACACAGGACTCCACTACTGGAACCATATTACAGTACAAAGCAGTGAATTGACTAACTCTCGTATAATCAATTCACTCTTATCGATTGAAGAAGCTCTAACAACCTAAACAGATTCTATCTATCTCAAGTTGCAGCAGAAATCAAAAGAAGTTGATCAGGATTCAATTGACTCAATAACCACACTTCAATCGATTATAATCAAACAATATATCATCCCAAAAGTTATTACAATCAAGATCCCTAACACATGGAACTAGGGTTCTTCATACCCAAGCGAGAGAAAGGTCTACTCCATAGAGAGAGAGAGAGAGAGAGAGAGAGGAAAATAGAACTCAAAGTAGTCATACTCATAAAGATGGGAATAATCTACTATGGGATGACAATCTTCACTCCTGGGGATCCAATCTGGGCTTCAATAGTGAGAATCCACTCCAAATAGCTCCTAGGGTTTGTTCTTCGCACTTTCTCTCTCTAGAACTCTGTTTGTGCTCCAAAAAGTCGAATCCCCTTCCTTTGACTAGAATCGGCCTCTTTCAACCCGATTCTGGGCGAAATAAGGGAAAAAATATGGCCGTAATTCACTTATGCATGTATTTTGCCCAAAACGAGCGTTTTGGTTAAGTGGAGACGGAGAAAACCATGGTCGCTCTTGGAAAGATATTGTCAGTATTTTGAAAATTACCGGCAGTATTTTGCAAATTACGGTCGTATTTTTTTCTTCGTCTGCCCGTAATTTGCTTTCCTTCAACATTCTTTAAGGGCTAGCCTCGGCCATAAAAATTCGAGCTAGACGCTCGAGAAAAACGGTCGTAATTTTGGGAACCTTGACCATAATTCTCACTTGAGCCTTCGTCATGCTCGACATAAAAAATACCGGCGGTAATTTGTGAATTACGACCGTATTTTTATGGAGTCTGCCCGTATTTCATTCTCAGCTCCACTTTTGAGAGGTTTTTGAGTGACCAAACGACCTCCGATTGACCCGAAACTTGCACCTACGCCTCCCTTTATTCGCTTGGATCTGAAATATGACAAAATAATACAACCTATCGTAAAATAGGCCAAGATACAACAAATGTGAGCAAAACAGATAAGAAACAAGGGTGCAAACATGGTGCTATCAGGTATTATTCATGAATGATTGTGTTGTGTGAAAGCATATCAATCTAATTTCCATTCTAACCTAGATATAGAGAAAACCCCCCTCCTTTCTTTGAAAGAGGCTTGAATGCTGGGTTTACTTGGATAATTCATTGCCTCCTAGTTAGGTTAGTGCAGGGCAAACCTCCTATTTCGTATTATCATTTAGGGTTTGGTTTTGGGTGGCCATCCGAACTGCAATTCGAGGGTGAAGGCTAACCATTCCTTAGTCAATACGTTGAGAGAGTCGCATTAGTGGCTTGGATCGTATCCCATTCCTCGACCTAGAGACTAAGAGGGTAGCTTTGGCTATTTGTTAGACTTCCATGCGGTTTATAACCCCCTCACCACACACGGGCATTCGATCCATCAAGTCGTAATTGTTAGCTAGGGGGGGCAACACCCGGGTGAAGCCTTCTTAATTAGTGTCAAAACCATTTCTCTTTGCAAAGTACTTTAGCTTTAGACCTTTGTTTTCACCAAAACTATCTGCTAGATAATGTTTCAAACAATCAAAGTAGCGGTAGATGGCCCGGCCCGAGTCGATATTTAAACATACTTGCCCAATATTGCACCCATCTAAGGTTTATTCTTGGGCCTTAGGTGGGATTTTATTGTGATAGTCAGAGCGAGTTAGCATCCTTCATAACATTATCTCTTACACTATTGCTCCCTAGGAAAAGAGTGCTAGCAACCTGACAAAGAGGGATCTCAATCTTCAATGATCCATATATTCCGAGCCTCATCTAAATCTTGGATTGGTCATTCTCAAGACTCTCTATAAGAACATTACAAACTTGAAGGTCAAGACCATCCATGGGGAGTCTTTGTCACCCGTCTTGCACGGTATTTTGGGATAAACTTGGAGGAATGCAATTGTATGGTCATTCGCTCCACTCAAGCATTCACCGAAGATCACTTGTCCAAGATGAAACTTCTAGAGGTGATTAATGAAAGGAAGAATATCAAAGGAATAACGCCCCAACCACTCTGACTTCAACTCGAAGCGCCACTGCCAGCTTTCGACTCAAGAACAGGGGTGTCATGCTCTATTATACGTGCATCCGATACCACTTAAGTTTACTATTAAGTGCATTCTCTTAAAGTTGACAGAATATTTTTGGAATATTCTATTTTCTAAATTTTATAATTGATCATTCTACTTTTCTTATTGTAACAATTTTTTATTGTTAGTTGGAATCCTCTTTTGAAGACTCTGATATCAAGCCAATTTTTGAATACAACATTTAGAATTAATTTTTTATTATTATCATTATGCGTTATATTAATTGAATTATTCCTTGAAGCAAATATATCCGATGAATAGAAGACACTAGTAACAAATCAATTTTTGAATAGAATATTTATAATCTATTATCATTATAGGTATTTTTTCAATTATTGGAATATGTTTAATTCTTTCTCATTGTGTTCCATTTATCCTTCTTTGGTCTTAAAGTATTGATGGTTGATTAGTATCTATTTTAAATGTTTTTAGTGAGGCTTCTAATTGGATTAGGGGTTTAAATAGATATTCTAATATTGTTTTTAAATATTTATTATTATCTTCTATTATATTTATTATTCTTTCTTGATATTAGTTTATTGTTTTTACTAATTTATCTATTTTATTGAAAAAATTTCATTAGCCATTCTAGAAATACTATGTTTAGAATATTTTTAACTTTTATATTAGATAATACTTGTTCAAATATAGTTTTGGCTGTTTTTAAAAATTTTGAGTACTAAAAGATAATTAAAAATTTGGGTTGAATGAAAAAGTAGATGAATACACTTTTAAATGATTTTAATTGTATATCTCAATTCTCAAATTTGACTCGAATGTATATCTCAATCCTCAAATTTAATTGATACCCGATTTATTTTATCCTGTGCAAAGATATAAACCGTTTGACAATAATAACAATAACCGCATAACCTGTTGCGAAGAAAGGCATTTGCTATCTCTCTCGCCCTCATAGTAGAAACTAGGGGTGGGCATTGGGTGGGTCGGGTGGATTTTGACCATAAAATGCACCCACCCGCGCTTAAACGGATTGATAATTTTTAACCCACCACCCACCCACATTTAGTCTCGGGTTGGGTCGGGCGGATGGTGGATGATGCGGGTGGGTTTGTGGGTTCACCCACATCACAATGCATATAATATAAAGGAGTCAACTTGACATGATAATAGGTGAAGAGAATCATCGAATTAGTCGAATTAGTTATTAAATTGGACAAAAATTCTATTATGAAAGAGTTTTCTACAGATTGAGACAATTATTAGGTGAAAGGAACTAAGGAAAATAATTCCACAAAGGAAAGAACGGTGATCTAGGCACAAGAATTAGAGGAAAAAGTAAAGGGAAGAAGAGGGGATCTCTATTTGGAAGGTTGGCTTTGAGGTTCAAACTCCAGGAGCAGTCCGAGTTTATATCTAACGTCTCCACTCTCCTCTCTCTAACGCCAACGACTTTGATTTTTTTGCTGTTGGGTTGAGCGGGTCACCCGCACACTCACCCACAACCCACCCACCACCCGGCGGATGGCTCCCAGCGCAACCCGTCACCCACCCACAGACCCACCCACTTAACGAAATTCGGGTCAAATGCGGGTGGGTCGGCCCAAACCCGCGGATGATCCGCCCGCATGCCCAGCCCTAGTAGAAACTAGAAACCACGCCCATTAGAATAGCAATGAAGAAAACGCCATGAACCATCTCGCAACCTGTTCTTTTGGCTTCTAGTTTTCCTTCTTGTAAACCCTCAAAATCAAAATCGTCCTGATTCCGCCTGCAGCAGCAACTCAGCACGAAGGTTCAAACCATTCTTGCTCCCTTTCGTCATTCCTTCAGATCCGCTGCATTTTCGGCCTCGAATTCACGATCTCTCTGTCCGATCCCGCTAGAAGAAAACCCCGAACTCTTCTATCGTCGCTCTTTGTGTATATTTCCCGTTCTTGCTTTCTCTGCTTCTACTGAACCCAGGCCACATTTTGTTTCCTCTCTTTTCTTCCTTCTCCCTTCCGGTCTTTCTTTCTTCTCTCTTGGTCTATTACCATTTCTGTTCTGCTTCCTTCTATAGAGCTGGGTTTAATTCCTAAGTCCTCACCCCCAACTGCAATCGGTTTTGTTTGGTAACTACTGACTAGTTATAGTCCTTTCTGGAGAAAACCCTAGAACTACTTTCTGCTTCTTTCTTGTTAGTTTGCCTTTGAACTTTCTTGTACAAATTTTGGGTTTTGGAATAATCTCGGCGAGCTTAACGTTAGGTAGTTGGTTTAGTTAGCGATGAACAACAGTAGAGCGAGGTATCCTCCTGGTCTTGGTGTCGGGAGAGGCGGAGGAACGATTGCCAACCCTAATTTTCAGTCAAGGGTTCCGCATCAGCAGTACGTGCAGAGGGGTTTGATGCAGAACCATCAGCATTTTCAACATCCCCAACAGGAACATCAGCAACAGCAGCAGTGGTTGAGGAGGAATCAGCTACCTGCTGGGGATTCCGATGTCGATGAGGTGGAGAAGATAGTTCAATCTGAGGCCGTTGACTCCAGGTGCTCCTACACTACTTCATATGTGCTTCATTGTGTTGTTTATTGGGCATGTTTCGCTTCGTTTTTTGGGTTTCAATTCAAGGTTCTTGGTTTCTTTGCTGTTTTGTGTATGCAGCGTGTGTCTAAGCTGTTAACATTACTTATCTTGCTTATATACTTAACGTGTTTTTTTGGACTTTTAGTTCACAAGATTGGAAGGCAAGCCTAAAGATACCTCCAGCAGATACGCGTTACAGGACGGAGGTATGGTCCTCAATGTGGTAGCTGTAGTTTGTCCTTTGTCGTTGATGAGCTTTGAAATCTTGATATCAGGCTTTTCCATTCTGTGATTGCATGTAACTACTTTTCGATGGCATGCTATTTCACTTCATTTTTGGATCCATTTCTTTTTGTTCATATGGAAGTTGTGCTCTATTTATTGGAGCTATTTCAAGCAAAACATTTGGAACTTAAACTGCTACTTATGTCGTCTATAATGTTATATGACTCTTAATTTTGTAGATTCCTGGTTTCTGAAAGGTGCTGATTTTTGTTGTGCTTAGATGTGTATGCCCTAGTTTCCGTTTTTATTTATGAAATGTCCATTGAATAGGCTTTTGGCAAGTTAGGGTTGCTGCGGGTGATTGCTCTATTTTTCCTAAACAGATATTGCAATCAACTGTAATGAGTCAATATGCTGGTAATCTGGATCTTTCGGGTGAACTTCTGCGATGACCATGGGCATATAGTTTGGGCAGGTGAACTAGATTTTGGAAGTATCCATTTGTTTCTTAGCCTCCCTTATCTTGTTTATGGTTTTCAGGATGTCACTGCTACTAAAGGGAATGAGTTTGAGGACTATTTTCTGAAGCGTGAACTTTTGATGGGAATATACGAGAAAGGGTTTGAAAGACCATCTCCAATTCAAGAAGAGAGTATACCTATTGCACTTACTGGCAGTGATATTCTTGCTAGAGCTAAAAATGGAACTGGGAAAACAGCTGCATTTTGCATCCCAGCTCTTGAAAAAATTGACCAGGATAACAATGTTATTCAAGGTTTGTCTCGTAGCATGTGAGCTAACTATGTGATGCTGATAATTGATTGTATCAAAGGTTTTGATATGCATTATTGTTTCTTAAATTATGATCCGATGGTTTTTGTTTTTGGCAAGGAGAATGTAGGCTCGGGACTTAGTTTTAGAAAGTAATGCTTAAAAATGAAATTAGCACTTGGTTATTGGGATCTTGGGGATTTTTTCATCTCAGTTCTTTCTCGTGCATTTCCTTGCAGTTGTCATCTTGGTGCCAACTCGTGAGTTAGCTCTTCAGACTTCTCAAGTGTGTAAAGAGCTTGGAAAACATTTGAAAATTCAAGTAATGGTTACTACCGGAGGTACAAGTTTGAAGGATGACATCATGCGTCTGTATCAACCTGTACATTTGCTTGTTGGGACTCCTGGAAGAATTCTAGATCTTGCGAAAAAGGGTGTCTGCATTTTGAAAGATTGCTCAATGCTTGTTATGGACGAGGTTGGTGTCAGTTTGCTTTGTTAATTATTAGGTTATTCTGGCATGTTGCTTCGTTAATTTTTTGAAGGCGATGAAAGTTCATTTCTGTAATTTTTTTGCATCACTGCTATGCTTTAATCTTTGGCAGCCGTGTGCACTCAACCACCATTTGTAAAAGCTGGTCCCAGTTCTAGACTCTTCATGGGCGACACTTTAATTGGCAATTGATGGTGGTGGGGTATTGATTGTCTTTAGCCTGCAGTTGTGAAACATGCATTGGTAACAACGGGTTTATTGTCTGTTAAATCGAAGGTGGAATAATCTTTTTGCTGGGATTCCATGAGAAACTGAAAAAGCTGTCAGTGCTTAGCCGAAAGCGCCAGAATAGGGCATAGCATGTGCACTTAGTTTGTTGTTGCTCAGGGAGTGAATCATTCTCCTCATCTTGACATATAACTACCGTGTGAATGACCTTACTCATTTCTTGTCTCAGGCTGATAAACTCTTGTCTCCAGAGTTTCAACCTTCAGTGGAGCAGTTGATTCGTTTTCTTCCTGGAAGCCGTCAGATTTTAATGTTCTCTGCTACATTTCCTGTTACGGTGAAGGACTTCAAAGACAGATATCTTCACAAGCCTTATGTCATTAACCTTATGGACGAGTTGACACTTAAGGGTATTACACAGTTCTATGCTTTTGTTGAGGAACGACAGAAAGTCCACTGTCTGAACACTCTCTTCTCTAAGGTATGGTACAAAATATTAGTTGGTTTGCTTTTCCCTTGTATTTGAAACTTCTGTTCTCATGGAATGGTGGTTCTCTTTGTAGCTGCAAATAAACCAGTCAATCATCTTCTGCAACTCAGTTAATCGTGTGGAACTGCTGGCCAAGAAGATTACAGAACTTGGCTATTCGTGTTTCTACATTCATGCAAAAATGCTGCAAGATCACCGTAATAGAGTGTTCCATGATTTCCGCAATGGAGCATGCAGGAATCTTGTTTGTACTGGTATGTGATGCATCTCTACTTGATTTTGCATGTTTATATTATTTGCTCTTGCAAAACATCAATGGGTAGACATGATTTTTTGGGATATACTCATTTTCTTCCTTCACGTGATTAGTGTGTAGAACTGAACACTATCTGGTAGAGGAATGAAAGAGTAGTGATCCCTATTCATTTCACTGTAAAATGAATGAAGTTGTGATTAATGTTCATTTTAAAACTCGATTGTGAAAAGATGAATTCAAGGTGTTACTCTTTGTCTGAACAACAACACAGTAATAACTCTTGACGACATTGCAAGATTAAAAGAATGATAAGATTTATTTTGGGCGTCGTCATATCTAAAGAAAAAGATATATTAAGGACTTTCCAGTTTAAAGCCTCAGATTTCCCTGCGCCTTAGTCTTCCACGTCAGCACCTCCTTTAGCCAATCACAATGTAGTTAAAAAAAAAAACCTTCCCCTTCAGTGGTTTTCGACCATTTATCAATTATCATATTATTTTTTATTTTATCTATTGTTTATCATGTGGTTTAAGGGAACATCTCCCAAAAAATGCAACTATGATTTTCTTCCGTTTTAGCAACAAGTAATTACCAATTAGTACCTCTCTTAAATATAGGTGTTACCAGTTAATTAACTTTTTATGATTTTCCTTTGTTCACTTTGGACGTGTGTTTCTTCAAACTACGCTCACTCTATTGTCAAAACAAAAAAATAAATTCTAATACTGAGTTTGCAAATATTATTTGAATAATCTTTGAATTCTAATTTCTTATTAAAATGATTTTTCACAAAATTCTTATATGGTTGATGCCACAAATTACTTATTTTGAAATTCTTCAATCTATTTGATTGGTAAATAGATCTTTAAATAATATTAAAGTTATCAATTTAATTCATTGAATATGGTGTTATACAAGTTTAAGATTTATATGTGTTAGTATGTGGAGCCATCAAATGGACAAGAAAAACTGGAATGGTTTCGTAATACTGTGAAACAAAAAATTTAAACGGATAAAATACTTACATTCATATATACGCATATTAAATGGGGTATTTACGATAAAAGTTTACAAAAAACTAAAATTGATGGAAGGCGAGTAAGCTTTTATACACATAAAGTTTGTCAATGAGATGGCAAATAGTGTGTTTCATTGTAAAGTGAAATTATTTTTTGTAAGATATATTTTATATTAAATTAATTAACATGTTTTAGATTTAATAGTGATTTTCACTGGAAGTTTAAAAAAATGTGTTTGTTTTAATTAGAACTTAAATTTGAGAAAAGTTTTAAATGTGAAAAGGGAAAAAAACGCGGCCAAGGCTCTTTCGTTAGGGGTTAAACTTTTTTTTACGGAGAATTGATATTGGGTCAATAGTTAAAAGAACCTAGAGTGACTTCATGTTAGAAACACAAAATTTATGGCCACACTTCAATTTTATATTTTTATAGTGAATATTTTATGATGATATAATTTATCCGAACAAAGGCCGGGTACAAAGCTAGTAGGTGAACATTCCTGCTTTGTTTTAATTAAAACTTAAATTTGAGAAAAGTTTTAAATGTGAAAAGGGAAACAAACGCGTTCAAGGTTCTTCCGTTAGGGGTTAAACCTTTTTTACGGAGAACTGATATTGGGTCAAAAGTTAAAAGAACCTAAAGTGACTTCGTGTTAGAAACACAAAATTTATGGCCACACTGAAATTATATTTTTATAGTGAATATTTTACTATGATATAATTTATCCGGACAAGGGCCAGGTACAAAGCTAGTAGGAGATTATGAACATTCCTGCTGAACTTGATGGAGCAACTGATGAGGATATTTTGGTTTTCACATCCTGCTTGTCTTCCGTCTTCTGTGTTCTTTCTGTAGATTCTGATATGACAAGTTCCCTCTCCTGGATTCTCCTTGAATGAATATACATCCAAGTATTAGAAAAACAAGATACATTAAGTGTGTCCAGAGGACTAGAATTTGGTTAAAAGGGGCGGGATATTTGTTTGTGTAATCACTAGAACATGCCGTTGTTTTATATGAGATACCGTTGAATCCCACTAATGCTCGAGATGAAATTTTTGCAGATCTATTTACCAGAGGTATAGATATCCAGGCAGTGAATGTTGTTATTAACTTCGACTTCCCCAAGAACTCGGAAACATATTTACACAGGGTGGGATGTTGCTTTTCTTGTTTTGTAATATCTAGACCATCTTTTTATGTACTTAGCCAGATAATTTTGTTTGCAGGTTGGTCGTTCTGGGAGGTTTGGACACCTTGGTTTGGCTGTGAATTTGATAACCTATGAGGACCGTTTCAATTTGTATGTATTATTCCACCAATCTCCTGCTTGATGTATGTTACTACAAAGGATTCTGGGGGGGTTAAATTTACTTGCTGAATAATAAAATGCCATGACAGGTACAGGATTGAGCAAGAACTTGGGACTGAGATAAAGCAGATTCCTCCACATATTGATCAGGCAGTCTATTGCCGGTAGGATATGTTAGATGTTATTCCCTGTAGTCAACGATGGTGGTGAGCAACAGGACGGGAAATGGTGAGTTGTTGTGCCTATGTTGGATGGCCCATACTTTCTAAGCATTTTTCTTCGGGGTTTCATCGATAACTTGGTGAACCAGATAAGTTTTTTTGGGGGGGGTCGTTTGCTGATAGCTGATTATGTCAGTTGTGCATGTTTATTCCTAATGTTATTATGCAGGATTGAATCTGGGGCATTTGAATTCTGAAAAGATGGAAGAATTGGTGGTAGAAGGCATTTGTGGGCGGTGTTGTCTTAAACTGGCATTGCTTGTTATTGAGCGTATTACGAGAACTTGATGCCCTGAGCTGGTGAAGAAGATGGTAGTAGGCCTAGGAGTTCATTGGTTTCTCTCTCTGAAAGCCCAACTTAGATAATGTTTGCATGATGGTCTAGCGAGTCCTTTTTCTATGTGTGCGTTTTGTTATTTGACCTCTTCCTTTTCCTCCCTGAGTGGTTTGGTACAGTATTTACTACGTCCGAGGTGAACTGTTGCCTTTGGTTGTCGGCCCAGACAAAAGAAGGCACCACCAACATTTCCTCGTTTCAGCTATCCTCTGGTTTCAATGACAGTAATAAAGTGTTCTCTGGACTTCCAAGTTGCGAGTTTGGTTTTCTGTGTTGGTCACATTTTCTTGATAGAGCTTCTGATTAAATGGTGGCGTGCGTCTCTCAACTGGCCAGTACAAAATATCATGTTCCTTGGTTTTGCTTCCGGTGGTTTGAGGGTAACGGCAACATGAGGCTGGTACGTATCTAACAGTACAAAGCCTCCGTTTTAGTGGGGATAGGTAAACTATTGGTTTGACTTTGTTTCTTCAATTGGTTCTCAGCGTTGATTTTGTAATTTAGTTTTCCATTTGGAGGCGAATTGAGAGTCCTCTAGGGGTTCTTCAACAGCTCGCCGAGTTGGCAATTGAATTTAATGAATGAGTTTGGAGCTGATGCAGGCTAAGCTTTGAACTTGATCCTTGCAGCAAAGCAATGCCGCGCTAGTGGCAGGAGGAACTGCTTCATTCTGTACTTTCGAGCCAGCGATATTCGCGACTGGTCATGAGGTAGCAGTTTTGAAGATGGTGGGCAACGATTGGTTACAAAATATTGGAGAAGCCTAATAAGTAATATGGATCAAAATGTGTCCATTGCATCCAATCCAAATGGACCTAGTTCAGTAACAAATGACTCATGGCCAGTGTGATATACATTTTTGGAATCACTTCACCGCAATATACATTTTTGGCCAATGTTCTGTTCTTGCACCAGAGTTGCAGGCATTTAGAGACGGGATATCTAACATGGATGTTTTTTTTTTTTGGCAAAAGATAATCGTATATTGATTCAAGAAAAGATAATTACATTATGGAGACTAGTCAGGCCTGGAAATCAAAAACACGATTAATAGTCGGGGACAAAGAAAGGGCCTTCCTAGCCACCCTATGGGCTACCCTATTGTTACTCCAACCTACAAATCGAATACCCAACCCCGGATGAGAAGCAAAATAATGTAAAACTTCTTCTAGAATAGCTCCCATCCCGTTATCAGTGGCCTGCCGTGAAATAATCTTGTCAATAATCATCTTGGCATCTCCATCAAACCTAACCTCCGTGAACCCAAGACCCAAACACCAGCCAATAGCCTCCCGGAGGGTCAGCAATTCAATGACCATAGGATCAACCAGGTCAGGAAACTGAACCCCCCTAGCCAAAAGTAGATCACGGTCTGGGATCATAAGGACCATACCACCAACCGAGTGAGACCCCTGCCGGGTAGCACCATCCTAGAGGCAGACGACCCTAGTATCTCCTACAAGGGCAACTGGGTGGATAGACGGGACATGCGGAGGAGGATTCGATCCATCGGGAGGCTCATCCACTCCTCATATTGCTGGTAAAACTGCCGCATCAAGGCTGGGATCCCAAACTGTTTTCATTCAAAGATAACCCAATTCCGAGAACGCCAGATCCGCCAAAGGATAGCCACCAGAGCCATAAGCAAGTCTGGCTTACTCTTTTAAGAAACAGAGGGGACGTATGGCGAGGCAATCCCTGCCCTAAAAATTCCAATCTCGAGAGGTCCCAAAGTGCACGCGCCACTGGGCAATAGAGAAATAGATGCTCCAAAGTCTCAGTTTCCTCCCAGCACACCGAACACCTAGGGTGCACCCGAACCTCCCTCTCAATTAGGGACTCCGTAGTTGGAAGGATCCTGTTAAAGATCTTTCAAAGGAACACCTTCAGTTTCGGTGAGATATTAGCCTCCCAAAGACGGACCCAGCTAGCCTTATCCATCCAACTAGCCAAAGAGCGCCATCCACCCTTCTGTTTATCCAAAAGGACAGCAAGATGGTAAGCCGACTTAACAGTAAATTGACCATCAGCCGTGTCATGCCAGATAAGCCGATCCGCCAAATTTTGTCGTGGGAGGGGGATTTCTTTAATTGCCTTACAAGTTGGTGGATCAAACCATTGACCAAGCTTGGAATCGCACCATCGACCCTCCCCTGTGCACAAAACTTCAAAAACACAAGGGTCCCCGCCCTCCGGTAGAACTTGAGGACTATACACCGGGGCAGAGGGATGCAACTGAGGAATCCAGCTGGAGTGTAGAAGAGAAGCGGTTTGACAATCACCAATCTACCACCGAAGACCCTTCTCTAGCAGATTTCTACCAAACATGATACTCTCCCAACCCCAAGATGGGCGAGATCGAGCCTGAGCAGTGAGGAACGTACCAGTGGGAAAGTACTTGCCTTTATAGACCTGAGCTAAGAGAGATTGGAGTTCATTAAGGCTGCGCCAGCCAATCTTGGCCAAGAGAGCTTGATTAAACTGCTCGAAGCGACGGAATCCTATACCACCATCATGCTTACTCCTGCACATATTTCTCCACGACATCCATCAAATTTTTGAATTGCCATTCTCAGTGCCCCACCAGAACCGTGCTATATGCTTATCTAGGAGGCGACAAAGAGACAGAGGGAGCTTAAAACATGACATGACATGCAGGGCAAAGCTATAGCAACTGACTTGATCAAAGTTTCCTTAGCAGCCCAAGATAAAGTCCGTTGCTTGCAACCCTGTAGTCTCTCCAATAATTTCTCCTCCAGATATCGGAAGGTAGCCATCTTAGAGCGAGCTATCAGCGTCGGCATGCCAAGGTATTTATCATGGACAGCCACTGCACCCACCCCCAGAATCTTGGCCAAGAACTCTTGGTCTGGCAGGGCAATATTCTTGCTAAAGCACACTGCTGATTTAGCCAAGTTAACCCTCTGCCCACTGAGTTCTTCATATTCATTTAAAACCTCGAGCAGATTCTCACATTCCTGGAAAGAGCCACGAAGAAATAAATAGGAGTCATCAGCGAAGAACAGGTGGGAGATTCTAGGAGCACGTGGAGCGACCTTCACACCTTTCAATTTTCGTTCAACAATAGCCTTCCGCAAGAGAGCGGCAAATCCCTCAGTACAGAGTACAAATAGCAAAGGCGAGAGAGGATCCCCTTGCCGAAGACCTCTATTCGGGGAGAAATACCCCGAAGGGGTGCCATTCATTAGCACAGAAAAAGAGGTGGAAGCAAGGCATTCCCGGATCCAACCCCTCCAGGTAGAATTAAAGCCCATTTTATCAAGAACAGCAAGAAGAAAGGGTCATTCGACTCTATCATAGGCCTTTTCCATGTCAACCATCAGAGCCATGTAACCTTTCTTGCCTTGTGTTTTGATTTTGAGGTAATGCATTAACTCATGCCCTTGGAGGACATTGTCCACTATCTGGCGCTCTTTGATGAAAGCATGTTGGCCCTCTGAAATTATATTCGGTAAGAGACAGGCCAGACGATCAGCCATGATTTTAGTAATGATTTTATAAACGAACTGGCACAGGCTTATAGGACGAAGTTGTCGCATAGTTTCCAACGAAGCGACCTTGGGAATCAAAGTTAGGCAAGTATTATTGAAGCTCCGAAGCATCTTACTCGTCGAGAAGAAAGAGCAGACCGCGTCAATCACTGACTCCCCAACAATGTCCCAGAAAGCTTTAAAGAACTTGCTAGTGAAACCATCCGATCCTGGTGCTTTTTTCGAGCCCATGGCAAACACAGTTCTTCTAACGTCGCTAGGTTGGACTGGTGCCGTGAGAGAAGCATTCATCTCTGGAGAAACACTGTGAGCGATAGGGAGAGCCGTCACCCGGTCAGGCATATTCCCCACCTGATTCTCCGAGGTGAATAAATTTTGGTAAAACGAATTAGCAATACCAGCCTTCCCAACCTCATCAGTGATCCATTCACCAGTTTCATTGCGCAGACCGGATACAAAGTTTTTCTTCCTTCTGGTCCTCGTAACCGTATGGAAGTAAGAAGTGTTTTTATCCCCTTTTTTCAATCAATTGACCCTAGATTTCTGTTCCCAATAGATTTCTTCCGCCTCCCATTGTCTGGATAGCTCTGTTTCTAGGGTACGGACTTCATCCCAGTTTATTGGGTGAACTAGCTTAATCCGATCTAATTCAGCCTGGAGGGTTCGAATATTACGCAGGAGTTCGTAGTACCAGCCCTACTCCAGTCATCGAGCAAATGGCGAAGTTTCTTAAGCCGCTCCCAAAGCTGATACATAGGCGTGCCCTGGACCTCCTCCTTCCAAACATAGGCCACCATGGCTATGACCTCCAGATTATCAGCCCAGCGAGCATCAAATCTAAATAACGGGCGACTATGGAGCAGGTAAGGCTGGTCCGCGAGGAGGTGGGTATAGGTGTCAATTGGGCGGGTTCGGGCTGGGTTCAATCGGGTTCGGGTTCAAACGGGTTGCGGGTTAGTCGGGTTGCGGGTTCATCGGGTTCGGGTTCAAACGGGTTGCGGGTTCATCGGGTTCGGGTTCAATCAGATTGCGGGCAAATCGGGTTGCGGGTTCATCGGGTTTTGGGTCGGGCGGGTTGCGGGCAGATCGAGTTTCGGGTTGTACGGGCCAACGCATCAAGTAACTTAACACATTACTCATTACCAACTTACACATTTTATTACACTAATTTAAAATATTTTCTCAACTTTTTAACCAATTTATTCTACCTCGTATATATATATACTTTATTTTTATGAAAAAAACTAGTCAAAATGTTAAATAAATTTGTATGACTTGCAAACTTGTTATGTAATTAATCATAATTGGTAAAGTATTATAGCTAATAGTAATGGTGATATCAATATTTGCAACCAAAAGACAACATTAATTGTTTATTTGATATTTTAGTATTAATTCAGTAGTAATTGGATTAAAGTATCTCGTTTAGTATAACCATGCAAATCTGGTATTTGGTGTGTGGTATTTGGCAAAAGCATAGTGATAAAAGGAGTTATTTCGAAATAACTCATTGCCCAAATAACTTCAGTAAATTATTGCCAAACGAGTTATTTGTAAAATTGTTCGAATTATTCATAAAAAAAAATTGTTCGAATTATCCTAAAAATTGAACCATTAAAGATTAACTATCAAATTTAGTAAAATTATTGTTACTTCAATCATAACTTACTCAATAGCATATATCCTATACACTTAGCCTTACCCTCAATCAACAATATTAAGTTAGTATATGTTGTTGATTGTATACCCTATACCCTAACCATATGTCTTTAAGTTGTGATTTTGCTAGTATAGTTAATTAAAAAGTGAAATTCATACTTTGATTTTCAAAACATAGATAAAAAGTGATATTTGCTAATTGTTATACCCTAACCATATATCTTATACTTTACACCACATACCTTGTACCGTAACCACGTACCATAAACATAAATTAAAAAGGGATCTCCTGCCGTTAAAGACTTCAAATGACTTCAAGTGAACATATCTTAATAAAAAACTTAGAACCGTCAAAACCATCAATATCTTATACCCTAACCATATACACCCTAAACCATATGTACCTTATACCCAATACCCTAACCATTTACTTTATATCCTAAACAACGAACCGTCAAAGATTACTTATCAAGTTTAGTATAAATTGTTGTAACTAATGGTTAATTTATTTATTAGCCCATAAACAATTACATACATATATATATTAGCCTTCAAAGCATATAAGAATAATTTTAACTAGTCATGCCCTCCATATAAAAGTTACAGATTCATATTTCAAAAGTTAAAATTATGAAAAACCAAAAAATTAAAAACAACAAATTTGTTCCTTCTTTCTTTTCACAAAAATATTAAAATTTCCCTCCTTCATTCTACTTCCATACATTAGAAAACTCAAATTTCCCTCCTCTTTCTCTTCCATAAAATTGAAAGAACCAAATTACCCTCTTCTTTCCTTCTACAA